CCATCCATCTTCCCTTCCCGCGTTCGTACAATGTGATGTTTCAACAAGGTATCATCGTTCTATCGCGTTTTAGGGTTTTCAGATTTTTTTACTCTTGCATGCTATTAATCTTTGTGTTATTTGTGTTTGGATTATGAGATGTAGAGAAAAAAGGAAGAGGAATTGATACCTTAGGGTTTTTGCTTTGGGAGGAGGCGGAGGATTGGAATGGAGGCGCTTCTCAGGCGGCCGGGCGAGGGAGCGAGACGCTGAGGAAAGATTTGTTCTGGTACTTGTATCTTTGCTTCAAATGTTTAGTGATGATAGCTTTCTGAAAACACTTATGAATCTTCTTTTCTTCTTCTGATTTGGTTTATTCTGTGATGAGCTGCTTTTGCTTCTGAATTTCTTTTGCTTCTGAGTTGCTTTCTTTGGATTTTGTGATTCTCAATGATGAGCTTTTGCTCTGAGAGTATGTTATTGCTGCTGATTTGAGATGCTTGGACTTGCTTGAATTTTGCTGGTAACAGGCCTCAAGGTTTGTGAAGGGTTCTAGTAGGTTTGTTGGAAACAAGCCTCAAGGCTTGTGTTGGTTTACCATTTTTGATGCAGGCTTATGTGTTATGCAGGCTTGGACACTGAGTTTGTATGGTACAGTTTTGTTGGATTTAAGGCAAGTTTGCTTTTGATTTTTAAGAAGGCAGGCTGTATTATGCTTACTCGTTTGGTTTGAGTTGAACAAGCTTTTAGGTTTTAGCAGGTTGCTTGGTTTGGTTACAGGCTTGAGGCAGGTTTCTGGTATGAGTTTGCTTGCTTGAAGGCAGTTCTGAAGCAGGCTGCAAGGCTTGTTTTGGTTACAGGCTTGAGCAGTTTGACAGGTTTTTGGCTTGAAGGCTTGTGCTTGTATGCAGGCTTGTGCTTATATGCAGGCTTGTTTATGTTCTTAACACAGGTTTGAAGTTTGTGTTTTGATGCAGGCCTGTGGTGTTTTGATTTTTGAGGCAGGAAAGCTTGGAGGTTGTGGTTATGTGTTTTCAGTTTTTGTGATATCCTTTTGTGTTCTTCTCCCCTCTCCTTGAACTGAAACTCTTTGTTATATATTTCTATTTTCTAAGCCTGCCAAAACTGTAAAAGCCTGCTTCTCTCTCTCTCTTTTCTCTCTCTATTAAAGCATATCTTTGCTTAGAATATCTTTCTTTTTCTGAAAAGGTTGTGGCTGGAAAGTGATGAAAAGATTTTGACAATATGCTTGCTTGCAATTTGATTTTTCTCTGCATCTTGTACTTTCTTCCAGATTTTCTGCATTGCCTTTTGTGTACTTGTATGCAGCTTTTCTGTTTGATAGCTTAGTTGACAATTTTGTTGACAGCTTTGTTGACAGCTTGGTTTGCCTTAGTTTTCCCAGTTTTGAATTTGTAACTTAGCTTGCTCAGTTTGATAATGCAATTCAGTTTGAACTTATGCAACTTTGTGAATTTTGCTTAATTGATTTAGCTTGCAAGATAATTTTCTTTCCTCTTTGTGAACCAAGAAGAGAGATCTTCTTGTGATTTGCAAAGAGGATGAGCAAAATATGATGAAAGTCACAACAATCTGATTCCGACCAACAACCTTTAATGATGAACCTTTTTGTGTTTATCTGTTCAAAACTGCTTTTCCAAATTTAACTGTATTGACTTCTTTCTTTTTTTGTCTTTGCAGGTAAATATCAGTCGGGCAAAGGAAGCAACAGTAGAAGATGAAGACTTCAAGAGACTTATTATTTCTAATCATTTGTAATAAACATTATTGTAAATACTGTAAATAAATTTACTGTATTCAAATAACACTTGTACCAATAATTAAAAATAAATAAAAGTCCTTTTGTCAGATAATTATTTATATCACTGTCTATTTAATTATTTAAGTTTCTTGAATTAAAATAACTGGAAGTACATCCCAATTATTCTAACTCAGATAAAACAAATAATTAATAAACTTTGTAGTCTCGCAACCTCGCATTAACCAACAATACATCCGACATTCCAAATAACCAAAAGCATTGCACAATTAAACAAACAAACGTCCACACACCTTTTTCTCACTGATCAAACTAAAGCTTCAACTTTCAATTAGAAGCCTCAGCTTCTATCCCATATGTTTAGGCTTTGAGAAATAAACGGCAATCTTGAACAAGCATCAAAGCAGTGTGACAGTCAAATGAAATGCTGTGGGTTCCAATTCTTTTGAGAATGCGCGTGCAAACCCTAATTGTGGATTTATTGTCAAAGAAACGTCTGCTTGATCAAACCCTGAGCCAAACTCAACCAAATCAATAGAAAACCTAATAATCTGCTTGGACTGATTCAAAATCAATGAAAACCCTAATTTTGGATTTACTGATAAGAAAAGTCTGTTTGACTGATTCTTGAGCCAATCTGAAAAAATCAGGGAAAACCTGAAGCTGTGATTTCTTGTGAAAAAGGAGAGGGCAAATTTTGGGGTACAACATACACCAACTGCTAGGCATTCAGGGGTCCAAGCTACCCTTGCACGATTGAGAGCATCCTTTTATTGGCCTGGCATTTACCTAGAGGTTACACAGATGATTAGAAATTGCATAACTTGTCAACACCACAAATATGACACACAGAAAAAGAAAGGTTTGTTACAACCTTTACCTGTTCCAAACAGAGTCTGGGAAGACATTACTATGGACTTTGTTACACATTTGCCAAATTCCTTTGGCCACACTGTCATCTGGGTGTTGTGTGATTTGCTATCCAAATTTGTTCATTTCATTCCCTTGCCCATAACATTCATTGCGAAAGATCTAGCTGCTCGCTTCACGGTGGAGATTTTCCGTCTCCATGGCACTCCAAAATCCATTGTCTCGGACCGGGACCCTTTATTTCTTAGCTACTTTTGGAAACAATTCTTCAAGCTCCATGGCACGACACTTAAGTACAGTACTTCCTATCACTCGGAGACACACAACCAAACTGAGGTCGTGAATCGTTCGTTGGAAACATACCTCTGTTGTTTTGTTGGTGACTATCCTCGTCAATGGCACAAGTTTCTGCACCTAGCAGAGCATTGGTACAATACATATTTCCACTCCACCATCCAAATGACTCCTTTTAGAGCACTCTATGGACGTGACCCGCCAGCGGTACACCATTACTTGGAAGGCACCGCTATAGGTCAATCATTAGACCTGACTCTGTCCACTCAAAAACAAATAATCATGGAGTTAAAATCAAATCTCAGGAAAATTAGGGTAACAATGGAAAAGCAAGCAAATACAAAAAAAAGAGCTTACAATTTTCAAGCTGGTGATTTTGTTTTGTTGAAACTGCAACCTTACCGCCAGTCCACCGTCTCTCATAGAATTTCGCACAAACTGTCCAAATGCTTCTATGATCCTTTTCGCATCATTCATCGTGTTGGCACCATCACCTATCTTCTGGATTTACCTTCTTCTTCCCAGATTCACCCTATTGTCCACGTCTCTCTCCTCAAACCCTATTATAGTGACCACCCGGATACAGATCTGTAACCACTCCCATCTTTAGATCTCATTGATTTCTCGGTAACAACTGAAATCCTACAAGACAATCAACAAAGAACAAATCAATTGCCGGATCTCATAATATCGCATGCAACCAAAGAACAAGAAGATAGAGTTACCAAGATTATTTCATCTTCAGAAGCGTTCGCGTCTTGTAAACCACTAGTCGCCATCAGCAAGCCATCGTCTCCGTCTGAACGCATCACTGTGGATTCTTCCTCACCAGACAGTGCTCAAGTGTTTCCCAACACAAAAAGTACTTCTTCTCAAGTGTTGTCCACTTCTCTCACTTCTCAGACTCTTCATCACCCCAGACCCACGTGTGCTACTTATCACCGTCCAAATGTCCCACCGAATTCACCTCTTCAACACGTGGCTCACATGCAACGCCAAGTGCATCACACCACTTATCCCACTTTCCCCAACGACTCTTATAAGGATGGCCTACAAGTGCAGCAGCCCATTCAGCCCTTGAACCTTGAGGACAAGGTTCTTTATGAATTCGAGAGTAATGTTATGAAGATAGTTAGGCCCATTAGAGAAAGAAAAAGACCAGTCTTTTTAAAAGATTTCATTTAAATTATTAGGTGCAAATAGTAATATTTTATTTGTCTTGGATTTTATATTTTGGTTAGCTGACCCATTACCCATTAAATTTATAAACCTATCTATATAAGTGTATGTTGACTATTTTTTTGAGTAGAAGAGAAGTTGCTTTATTTTATTGCCCTCTTATGCGATTCTATATCTTAGATTAAAGTAGTATAGTGTATCAAAATGCATACAAAATAATAATTACAACATTTGTATATGGATCAAATGAATTTTACATAAAAATGGACGATTATTCCAATATGTGAATTCAATTTGAGAGAAAACTTTATATCAACATTTGTTAACTTAGCCATGTAATTAAGTAAGACTTACTTTAAAAAATCTAACAAATAACTTTATCATTTTGATAATCTTTTATAGAATATCCATCTTATTTATCAAGCCGAAAAAAAATATTACAAATACACAAATATTTATTATCTATTATATATATATATATTAAAATAGACTCTCAAATTATGTTTCTTATTTATTTGCTACATTTATTTCATTTATGGCTTATCATCTCATAATAATTTTATGTGTCATTTTTAAAAATATTTGAAAAAGAATTGTGTGATCTTAATCTAATTTTAATATTTTATTAATTAATCTAACAAATTGGAGGTGATAAATAAACTGTATAATAAGAAAATTGTATTCGAAATTGTATCAACATCGTGGCATCGTAAATACAGATTAAGGCACTCACAGGTATTCATCAAAACCCTCCATTTTCGAAATAGATACATGCTTCAATTTTGACAAGTTTTTATTTTATTTTATTGTTTTCTAGAGTAACATGCAAACAAAATTGGTTTTTTCAATCTTTATGCTGCAGGTGCCGCCAGGTAGGGTTTGAATTTGAAGTGTGAGAATGGTTTTGATAAGTGGGAATAGCAAAAGGTAAGTTTTTGTTTTTTGATTTGAAGGGAAATTTGTTGTGGTTGAAGTGTTCTTATTGGCTTCTTTATGGTTTAGGGTTTATAAAAATGGTTATTTTGAAGGGCTTTGTTTGTTAGATTAGAAGTGTGATAGAAACTAGATTTTTCAGTTAATGAAAGTGTGTGATTAATTGCAAATGGTTGAGCTTAAAGTAGTGGAAATGCAGAAAAAGATTGCAAATGGTTCAAATCCAAAGATTGCAAAGGGTTTTGTAAATGTGATTGTTATGCTTGTCTTATTTTCATTGTTTCTATTTTCTGTTTTTATATTCGTTGTATTTTGTGTAAAAAAATCTGCATATGTGGAGAAAATAGAACCAATAGGGTTGTAGTAGGCTAGTAGCTGCAGCTGGAATGGAAAGTTGTAGTGTGGCTGGAGGAGGCTATAGCGAAAATGCTATGGTCTGCCAGACCAGAGAATTCTGAAGGGTGTATGTATTGGTTGTCAAGAATGGGTCTCACCGGAGAAGACGAAGCTGGTTGAATCGAAGCTAGATGTGGAAATAAATGCTCTAACGGATAAGAAAAACACTAGATGTGGAAAGTTGTAGTCGTATGTGAGTGGTTGGGCTAGGATTGGATGGGACTGGCAGAGGATGGCGATCAATGCACTGTGAAGATCGGCCGAAGAACCTGCCAAACACACCACCACTCACGGAGGTGAGGCCCATATAATTCCGATAACACAGTGCGCTTAATCAACAGGTGTGGGTACGTGCGATGGTAGATTTTCATCAAAAAAACTTAGACTGTTAAGTTTTTCCAGGGGCTAAGACGATCGGGACAAATGTGGATGGAAAATAAGCTATCCGTAACAGAACTCAATGTTTAGGAGAAAAAAAATTTAGAGGCTCACGGTAAAGAGATACAGAAACACTGTAACAATAAGGGAACTCGATGAAAGAATTTATAGTGGTAGCTGACGGTGGCTGTGAGTTTAAATCAGCATATTCGCCTCTATTTCTAACATGTAAAATAAAGGCTAATTAATATGGTTTACTAAATCTAATCCCAATAATAAACATTAAGATTTGATCATTTGATTCTAACAATATTCTTTTGATGTTTAACTACAGTGTTTTACAACAAGCAAATGATGAGAGAAACAAAGCTCCAGGAGTTACACTGCATCACAATTCACATCAGCAAGGAAATAAAACCGTTGAAAGTGGGCGTAGCCCAAATTTGACCAATACACTTTTGACCAAAGGAATGACAACAATGGATGAATTTAAATACGGGTTTCCATCCGAAAGCTTATCGACTACATCAAATAAATGGTGGGGATGTGATGATCGTGATGAAACCCGCCCAGATGGAACCGAGAGTCAACCTGAAGAAAGCAGAGGAGAATCAGAAAAGAAGGAATGTGAAACCAGAAAAGCTGAAAATAGTGAAGAAACTCTTCAAGGTTCATCTTTGTTGAAAGCTGTGAGGAAAAGAGCTGTAGAAGAAGGAAGAGAAGCATTTAAATTAGGTGTTTTTCGAGGCTACAGCGTAAACAAGGTAGCCAAAAGGGAGAAAAGATTGCTTCACCAAATATTTGGATCTTCATTGCCAAAGTCATGGATACATGAGTTGTAATTTCGGATTTGGATTTCGTGTTTGTAACATTGTCATGTAGTTTTCGAACTCAACTGTTTCATCTCAAATTAATGTCCGATATAAGATCGTTAACTTTATGAATTTGAAAACACCTGTAGTTTTTCCTAATGAAGGGAATCCAAATCCATTAATCAAGAGTCACTATCATTCTGCAGTCTTTTAGACTCTGTTTGCTGGATTGAGTACTTAAGGAACAACTTCATGAAATAATATTCCTTTTTCTTTGTCTGGAACTACATTTTCTTCTATGATACCAAGATATACATTACATTTGTTAGATTTTCATTTTTAGATCTTCTTATTTAAACAAAAGAGTTGGCCTCTAAAACTAAAGCCTGAATTTTAACTAGGCTAATAATGCTCATAATATGATAAATTAGTTTGTATATGTTGTCATCATTTGGATCAAATACCTTTTACACACTGCAGTGCTATGTGATTCATTGAGGTTTTTAATTGATATATAAAAAAAAAATTGAAGTTGTATATTAATTAAAACATGTAGGATTAGTCTTTAAATATAAAAAAGTTGATTAATGAAGTGGAAGTATAGACGTGCAGAGATTAAAAATAATTTTTACTAGTAAGACAAAGTGAATTAATAAAATATAAAATGTTGATTAATAAAATAATGAAATTGATTAATATTGTTTGGATAGTAAAAATATGTTTTAATAATAAAATAAAAATGATTAATAAAATATAAAATATTGATTAATAGATGTTATGAAATTGGTTAATTATGTAATTTTATATTGATATCTTTTAATCAAAAAATAAAATAAAACAAAAAAATTAAAAAAAAATATTTTTTTATATATTTAAAAAAAAATTAAAATTAAAATATTTTATTGTTCATCATAATAATTAAGAGTAAAGTAGGGCGTAGTGTATATATCGTTTGGATATAAAAATATTATTTCTCTTAATATTCATATTAGGAATGCCATTATGTTCCAAAGTCTTCAGTTTTGAGGATTCTATATCCATCAAAATTATGTTTTGAAAGTGGATGTCTTTCAATTGTTCTTCTTCCTCCTTTTTTGGTAGGTTGCGGCAAAATAAATCTGATTCGTTGGACATATCTGTTTTATCTGTATTTTAGTATAGTGCGGGTCAAGAATTTAGGTCCTCACCTTCTAATGTGACCGTCTCGTCTG